TGTGATGCCTGAATCTGACGCGGTACTCTCTTTTGGGCTTGGGAGGTCTTCCTCGGCCCAACGGCTTTGGAACAGGCATGTCCCTGTGATCCACAATGTCGTCGATGTCAATGTGACCATCCGTGGTTGGGGGCAGCATCGATCTCCTAGAAGGGAATTGATCTGTCTCCACGAATGACGTACGTAGGACCATCCATTGCATCTCCCACTACATCCAAGACTTCCCAGGGACCAAAGTACTGAGGCATTAGTTTACAAGATATTCCGAACTCCTGTCCTAACTCACTAGCCTTGACCCAGACACGTTCCCCCACCTGAAATGTGGACTGTCTGCGATGTTGATTCTCGGAAGCAATCATGGCTTGCTGAGCTTTCTTCATATGTTCAACAGCCTCGCGCAGCAACTTCTCATATTGCACGCCATATTCAAGTGTGCCTGGAGTTGCAGCAGGTCGGTTTTCAGGTAGGAGAAAGTCTAGTGCTGATCTAGGCTTCCATCCCAAGTGCAACTGGTTAGGACTAATGCCGGTACTACTATGAATAGCATTGTTGTACAAGCTGGCGATGAGAAGCAACTGCTCATCCCAATCATCTTGGCTGGGCTTGATGTAATGCCGCAGCAAGAGTTGTACCACTCTGTTCATTTGTTCGGCTTGTCCGTTGGCTTCGGGATGATTCCCTGAAGTCATTTGAAGTTGACTGCCCATTTGTTCTGCAGTCTTCTTCCACAATTCACTTGTGAAGCGGACGTCTCGGTCACTAATGATGGTCTTTGGTAAACCAAAGTCCCTTACCCAGTTGTCCTTGAACAGCTTGATGACATACTCCGTCCTGGCTGTCTCTGGCATTGGTATTAGTCTAGCGTACTTGGTGAATCTATCAATGATGACGAAAATCTGCCTCTTACCACTCTTGCTGGTCACAAGGGTGTCCATGAAATCCATGGAAACACTCAATCCTGGACCATCAGGAATAGGTAAAGGCTTCAATAACCCAAGTGGTGCTTGAGTTCGCGGCTTGTCCTGCTGACAGACCTGACAGGTCTCAACATACTTTTTTGCGTCATCTAGCATCCTGGGCCACCAAAATCATTGTACCAAGTTAGCACTCGTCTTTTTGTAGCCAAAGTGCCCGGTTGCGTCATGACATTCGCCTAAAAATAAACTACGCAACTGTTCACTAGATGGAACTACCAATCTTTTTATTCCGGCCTTATCAAGATAGATTAGCCCATTCACCATCACAAACTCACTTTTTGTGGCCTTGTCTTTTGCCTGAAGTTTGCGGATGATGTCCATCGTGACAGGGTCTTCCTGATAGGCTCCCACCAATGATTGAGTAACTTCGTTAGATACGCCAAATTCGGAAACTAGCGCACCTAGGTAGTCTGCTCTACGGGATAGCGCGTCTGCAACCTTGTTGTACTCTCCTTTCAGGTACTCAAGCT